GAACAAATTATAAATTATTCTTTAACGGCATTTATTTAACCAACAATTTTTCATCGATGATCGTTTCTCCAAGTGGATTGTTTTCTAACCGTTTTGTTCTACTGATATCAAATTGAATGCAGTGATTCTTTGCAATATTGTACTATGCTACAGCAAAATCTTTTTCGCCTCCAATGCTCATGGAACTATCTCCTTGAGTTGATGCTCCACTGATTAAGACTTCTGTTCAGCTTCAAGTTGGCTTTGCTAAACTGTTTTCGGAAGAAACTTTTCGGGTATCATTCTGTGACGATCAATCAACGAGATTCTTGTTTTCTTGCTAGAACAGAATCCGTCTACAAGAATTGAAGTTTAGATAACGTCTAGCATAGATCAACTTCTTATATGCCAACCAATAACCCATTTTTATTCTGTACCAAAATATATCAAACTGGAAACTTGCCACCGTCATTTCACAAACAAATCGTCGGCACTTGAGAAGTTCCAGAAACGCCATATAAGAATGCGTTATTTACCTATCGAAACTACATTTCAGGATTATTGTTGCTTTAACTCCGTCGCTGCTAGCCCCTACCAAAAATGCGAAAGGAGAAGGGTTGGGAATCATTGCCAGGTATTCCACAAAACGTTGCCATTTGCCCTCATGGTATTGCTGTTATCATACGCTAAACCGAATCCATAGTCGCTCGGGAACAAAGGGCTGTGCACACAACTGGGCAACTAAAGCAAATTGCGAAAAACCGAATAAACTGAACCCTTCTATCACGCCTTCGAGCAGTTAAGAGCGTAACGGCACGGTGCAGGTTACCGAAGATCGACAAGAAAACGACGAAATTGTCAACGACTGAGCAGGCATCTGTAATGAGCGGGAGGCAAACCGCGCCACAGCATTCGTAAACTGGAATATAACACTCAGAAGGAAGGAGTAGCAGTTAACGATCAGACCGTGAGGTACAGACTAGATATAGTTGGAATCTCACCAACAAAGGGTCACGGCTATGAAATTCTGAACCTTCCTGAGTATAGCTCTGGTGTCTACTCTACGACCCGCATTCAAGCTGGTATTGGCAATTAGGTACAACCCAACCTAGCTGGCAGATTTATTGAATGTAAGCCTGTCGATGAAATAGTGGCAATCTTTCGACTGTAGTTACAACAGGCTAAATCTCTGACCTTAACTACGGACCGATGCGCCTAATTCGAAGCGAAAACATGAATCTTTCCTGGGAGAAATAGAAGCTGCTCTATACGAAGTGCCGAATAAGGATTCCAAAATTGTGATAAGCAGTTTCAATGCACATGTCAGAGCAGACACTGAAAAGTGGAAAGGCGTCATTGGAAAGAACAGTTCTAGTGACCTCAGTAATAACGGCATGAAGTTGTTGCGGTTTTGTGCAAACAACGGACTGTATATCATGAACATGGACACATTCTTCGAGCAACGAAGTGTGCATTAGTTCAGCTGGCACAGTGGAGCATGTGCACAGAAGTCGATGATCCATTTGTCAATCGTGTCATCTGACTTAAGACGATCTTCAGTAAATGTTTGCATTAACAGAGGCGCAGAACTGTCACCTAGTCATCACTTTCTTTTTGGCACCCTTCGCGGTAAGCAATGGAGTCCCACGCAAAGACCTGGCGGCAGAAGCAACGAGAGATGAAACTAGGAAACATTATCTTATGCGGATACGAAGACAAAACTTGCAAGCGCCATCGCACGACAGTGTGAACAGATCTTTGTGATGCTGGAACCGAGTAGAAGCTCGTTAAGACTGGCTTACTCGGGGCTGCCACCGAATGTTGCTGTTTGAAACCGGTTGGCCTGCCGTCTGGGCATCAGAAAAGAACTTTCTGGTGGACACCAGGGAATCATCTAACTGTCAGCGAGAAGACGACTGCGTTCAAAAGACTAGGAAGTAAACAGCATTCAACTTAAACGCAATAAGAAGCGCGCGCGCGACGGCAATGAGACCAGTGGATAAAGCGAAAACTGATTCCTGGGAAAATTTCGGTGATAAGCTGGAGTCGAATTTTCAGGCGGAAAGCAAGGTATTCTGGCAGACTTTCGCTGCCTCCGAAATGAAGAATGGCAGTCTAAGTGTAGTGAAGGACAAGTCCGAGTGCCTTCTTACCAAGGAAGAGGATATACTTCATCAATAAAGAGAATTTTGAGGAACTCTTCAACTCTGCACAACCGCAGGAAGCCTCGACTCAGGAGCAAAAGGCAGAAGATATTAGTTTTTCAGAAGAGGACAACACAGCGGCAGTAAAATGTTTCAAAAGTTGCAATGCTGATGGAATCAATGAAATCCACCGTGAAATGTTTATAGCTTTTCGCGAACAAGGAGGGTTGTAGCTAACACGAGTCTGTAAAACTGCAATGACTACGGGGAAGAGAACGGCGGACTGGCGAAATGCAGTGGTAGTAGCCACTTTCAAGAAGAGAGACCATCTGGGCTGCTTCAATCATCAGGGCATTGCGTTACTGAGTCTCCGGATAAAAGTCTATGCAAAGGTGTTAGAAAGGACTACCGCCGAACAGCTGATTGTAAGATCCAAGAAGCTTCTCGAACCAGATCTTTGC